AACAGGGGGCATGACTTTGGTAGACGAGGGTCCAGTATCAAAAAGGGACATGATTTTGGCTGTGCTAACAGCTGAGTAGGATCACGAACACCAGGCAGCTTGGATAGACAGACACGCATGGTGTGAAGACAGAGAAACTTTGTAGTAGTTCGGCGAGGTATCCCTCCAGGATTCCACAAGGGTATCAAGTCACATGACCGAAGGGGCTCCAAGACAACCGTAAATCAATGGTTTCGGACGTTTCACAATGTTGCTTCACAGAATTTCGGTGGTTGGCATACCCTTCCAGATCTGAGGGCATGCCGGAATGATTTCCCAATAACCGCAGCCACCCAGCGAACAGTGGTTTTGGGGCGCAATACACAAAAATTATCAAAAGTTATTAGAATAAGGAACCCTTAAAATAGCATTCTACATTACTCAGCCCTTAAGATCACGACTTCAGGGTCTGCGCTCCCTGCCATCTCCAAGTGACAGCCTGGTGTGTTCCAATTCGCTTGGTTCCATAGCCGGTTTCAACAGAGTCTGGTTGCTTCCAGAAGATACGCAGGGGTCTCGGGATATACTATAAGTAGATAGGATTACGATTTGGGATATTGCTACTCGTCCTCCTGGCCAAGTTGTACCCCAAACCCCAAACCCTAAACCCCTAAACCTGTACCCCAAAAGCGCTTCAAACTTCGAGCCTCGTGGCAGGTGGGTGAGGCCACTGCACTCCCGGCTGAAAGCGAACCAAAGGCCCGACCAGGGCTTCTGATATAAGCTCGTATAATAAATTGCATTGTTTCAATATCATATAGTATAGTATCATGTAGTAAAATATGATACAATAGATAAGACAATATGATATAATGCAGTTTTTGTTATGTATTGCAATATCATGTAATGTAACGACATAACGTGACATATTATGACACAACATGATTTGACATGATGCACCTAGACCCCAGGAAACCTGCAATTCCAGGGTAATTTTCCCATCTCGGGTTTCTAGGGTCAAGGTAGGGTTCAGGGCTTTAGACATGCTTTGGCTTTGCAAGACTTCCTTGCGCAGGTGGTCAAAGCAGAAAGGCAAGTCGGCGAAGTCACTTGCTTTCCATCCTCGCAGCCTGCTGCACGGAAGTTGCAGGCAAGCTGAGTCGGGTTTACTAAATGTATGTGTGTATATATATATATATATGAGCAAGAAGAGCAGGACATGCGATGCAGCGTTGTTGCGCCTGGCAGCTGCTTTTACTTCGAAGAAAAGCTGCAAGTGTGCGCATCAAGGGGACAGCGGGATCTCTTCAGAAACTTGCGAAGGGCGGCGAAACCATCGAGGAGGCAACATGCTTCCCCTCGACGCCTGCCTTATCCACTCCGTCCAAGGAGCTGGGGTGAGCAGATATTTTGGCTGCTGGAAGTTGAAATTGTTGTTGTTTTGGTGGTGGTGGTGGTGGTGGTGGTGGTGGTGGTCGTTGCCGCCGTCGTGGTGGTGGTTGTGAAGGTGCCAGTACGTCTAGAATATTGTTTGTACTTCTTGCACTAGTAGTACTATAGCAGTAGCAGCAGTAGTAGCAGTAGTAGTAGTAGTAGTAGTAGCAGTAGTAGTGGCAGCGGCAGGTGCAGCAGGAGTAGTCGGGGAAGGAATAGCTGAATAGCAGTCGTAGTAGTCGTTGTCGTAGTAGGAAGAGGAGGAGGACGAGTCACGAGGAGTAGGCTTGGTAGGAGTAGTAGCAGAAGCAGAAAAATCACCATAGCAGCGGGCGTCGTCGTCGAGGAGGTAGTTGTAGCAGTAGTTGACACCCATCAGAATCACCATCGCGTCAAGATGAATAGGGAAATCAACCCGCAACAGGTGCAGGAATATCGACTGGGAGGACCTCACCAGCATAGCTACAGCGACGGCCACTACAGACAAGTGCGTTCAATAGTAAGAAGAACTACCAAACACTGCAGTATTGCTACTTCTTGTAGTTCAGCTTCTTTGGCACCCAGCCTCTTGTGTGTGTCCGAAATCATCCGGATCACAGCTTGAAGGGTCCGAACTTCGCTGCCATGCTCTGGGTACTAGGGCCTTCGTCTTGAGCCAGGGCCGGCCAGTTGGGGCTCTTCACTAGAAGATGACTGCAAGTGCCGTACTGGCAGTTCTGGACCAAGTGCAGAACGTCGGCCAAGTGGTGGAGATCGGACAGGCCCAAGTTCACCAGAAGGAGCAGGCAGAAGCTTTGGAAGACCCAGCCCAGGACCCTAAGTGCCCCATGCAACCTCGCCGGGCTGAGAGCATAAAAAGTGCTGAATCGGATTCAGGGTTTTATCTAGAATCTAGAGCGCTGGCCGCCTGCGGCAAAGGAGGGTTCCATCTGGCAGAACTGGGCTGAAGTTTGGAAGCTCGGAACTTGTTCCTGCAAGTTCGCTTTGAAAGATTTTGCAAGTGGTTGCCCCTGCCCGACTTCAGACGCCACAGGTCCTTTGGGCGCGGAGAGCTTACCAGCTCGAGTCGCAATCCGTTCGCCTCGACGTTTTTGACCACGTCAAGGAGGAGATTCGCTCGCACCACGATACTTACATGGGTCGAATCGATGTCTTGCTGCTCGTCCTGGCATTGAATCCTGGCCGATTAGAAGGATGCTGCCAATAGCGACGCCTACATAAGCCTAAACCCTAAACTGTTCAGTTTCACTTCTAAGCGGACCTCGAACCATATGCCTCGCCTGGATGGTCCGAGTGTGAGAGCCGAAACCGCCAGTTTTCCAATGTCCACATCAGACAGACTGAGGATCTGGCCTTTTGCTTTGAATGCGATACAATTCTCGGACCCGTTCATACCGCAGACCGAGTTTGAGTGCGCACATTGCATCGAAGTCAAGCACAAATGGATTGTGTTTGTGTGGATGACACTCCTAGGTGCCATTCTCGTCCTGCCCTTTTGGGGGATACTGATGCTTATCCGCTGCCGATTGAAGTTGGATGCATGGCTTGAGTATTCTCCGCGTTTGAGCCAGGCAAGACGAGGAATGAACATCACTCCCCAAACCAAAATGGCGTCTACTAGAAATGAGGACGATGAAGACGATCATGATGACACAAAAGACATTGTTTGCCGTCTGGTCAACATGGTTGCGGAGTGCCAGGAGTACCTTGGCCTCATGTGGACAGAGGAGTGCAGCTGGCTGGTTCACACCTCTACGAGCCTTCTTTGGATCTCAGCTGGTGCGGCACTACTTCTTACTGCTCTGTCCATTTGGGTGTTCATGGTCAACAAAGGCGGCGCTCACTCGAAGTTTGGAAACTGGTTTGCCGTGATCGTATCGCTGGGGATGGCTGTGCCGTTAGTCTACATGTTGCGAAGATCGTTCGATGAGCTGGAGCCGCCCGATGAGGACATGCTTGCTTCTGCGGCAGTGAGTAATCCAGCCATGAACGAGCCTGCAACACGTCGGCGCAGAGCTCAGCTGCTCAAGGGAAACAGCAGCCCCAACTTCTCGCGATTTTTCAGCGACGGAACACCGAAAGAGGAATTCACAGGAGAGAGTCGCTTCTCTAACCTGAAAGAAAGGATCTTCGATCTGCTGCCAAGCTTTAAACGGATGTGCGGTCGCAGAAAGCAAAGGCGAAAGAAAGGGGAGCCGCTTTTGAGACCAACGTAGACTTACAGCAGGGACAGAGGCACCAGCACAGGCTGGATTCTCGAGGCCCACACGCTGGACCGGTATTCCGCTGCAAGGAAGTCTTTTGATGTGTTTCCCAAACCGGAGAACCGGTGAAGCCTCTCTCGACAGCAGACTGTAGGGCCTCTTAGCACATTTGAATGAGACGCCTCATCCGGAGTCTGGCCGCACGCCTATAGGGAAGAATGCTTGGAGCAAAGGTCAGCGTGTGGCCAGACTTGTGAACAGCCCTTTGAACAGCGCGCTTGCAAAGCAATGCGCGGCTGTGAATATTCAATGTTCGTGCTCGTAAACTCGAAGCACGTGGGTCCACTGCTAGAATGCAAGAAAGCCCTAGGCGGTCGTAAGCAAGCTCGGGAATTAATCATGCCCTTGAGGGAATCACTGGGTGGACCCTGCACCTTGAGTGCACAGCAAAGACCCAGCAGAAGTCCCCAAGTCAATGCCATGTCTATGGAAATGGGGGCAGCGCAATGCAGATGCAATCTGCATGGATGTATGGAAGCCCAGGTACCTACGTGGTAGGTGTTATTGTCCGCATAGTACTAGTTCTGAATGCTCCGTGTTTGGAACGTTTCAGCTCCCTTCAGCTGTCAGGACGTGCATGCCAAGTTTGGCCAGCACCCGACACGAGACGTGGAGGCTCGGATCGCACTTTGGGTCCCGTCGAGCTCGAACGGCACAACTGCGGACCGCGCCTATGGGGTTCTGTCAGTGTCCTGATCGCAAGAGTCCGGCTATTATCTCAAAGCGACCTTTTAACTTAGGAAGATCCGACAGTATTTCCGGCTGGGGTTTGATCGTTGAACTGGACCCCTTGGGCATTAATACCTTGCTGTCTTGGACGGCAGCTGGTACAGTATTGCATGTCCTATTCTCCTGCATTGGGTTTCGGAAGATCTTGTTTACGAACACCTTTTAGAGGCTTCAAGTGGCCAACCGATTCACGAACCCTAAACTCTAAAACCCTTCTACCTGGAGCCTTGCCTGCCTTGTGCGAGAGTGAGAGTCGAAACCTCAAACTCCTAAATCCTAGAACCCTGAATCCTAAAACCCTAAACCCTATAAAGCAAACAGAAGAGTTCGAGAGGTCCGGTCGACATAGTAGCAGATGCCTGTGGCTGTTGTCGTTTCCTGTCTCTGAGCCCTTTACACTTAGTGTTATACTGGTCGGGGTTTGCCTAGTCGCAGGCATCGAAAGTTCTCTTGTTTTCACGCTGACTGCGCACATATGGATCCTCGCCTGGCTTGTCCGAGTTGTGAGAGTGTAAACCCTAAAACCCTAAAACCCTCAACCCTAAACCCTAAAACCCTAAACCTTCTTCGCTGCAGGGCGGAGAGGCCCACCAGGAACCGAGGCGCACGACCGAGATCTTGCGAAGCAGTGCCTTCAACGAAACTCCCAAGGTTTAGGGTTTTAGGGTTTATGGCTTGCAAGAGTCCTGGATGCAAAAGGGTTTATGGTTTCAGGGTTTTGGGTTTTAGGATTTAGGGTTTTAAGATTTAGGAGTTTGGGGGACCGTAGGGCCTTGGGATTACATGGTGCTTGGGCTTTTTTGTGGTTTGGGGTTTAGGTAGGCCGCCCGGACTCCCCTGAAGTCACTCTTATGGGGTTTAAGAAAGATGATCTGCGCACCGTCTAAGCTTGCAGCCTTGTAGCATAAACATGGCCCCGATGCGACAGTTGCGCAGCGTGGCTTTCAGCTTACGCGGGTGTTCGCTTTCCACCCAGGGACACAACACATGTTAGGCAGAGGCCTTAGAAGTCGTGGCAGGCAGTTGGCGAAGGATGCCTCATCCGGTGCTCCATCTCAGCTTGCTGGCACCAAGGGGACGCCATTGATTGCATCTCCTGCGTGCGTGTTGCAACATGTGTAGATGGTGCACTACTTCATACCCTGCACCCTAAACCCTAAACCCTAAACCCTCATACATGCGCAGACCAAGGGTCCGAGTCGTGGACGGGCGCACGTCCATTGCAAGCTTCCTCGGATCTGGATAGCGTCTCAGGTGCGAGCCGCAATGCACCGCTGGGATGTCTTCGGATTTGACATGCCGGTGAGAAACATAAACACGTATTGTAATCGTAAAACTCAGTGCAAGCAGCATGCAACAAAAATACTAACCATCTGCTACTACTACGATCCCTACTGTACTGCTACTGGTACTGCTGCTACGCTGCTACTGCTACTGCTACAGCTGTGACGACGACGACTATTGCTGCTACTACTTGTCCTGCTGCTACTCCTGCTGCCAGTACTACGACGACGACGACGACGACTACTACTGCTACTGCTACTGCTACTGCTACTGCTACTGCTACTGCTACTGCTACTGCTACTGCTACTGCTACTGCTACTGCTACTGCTACTACTACTCACGATGACGACGACTGCGACGACGGCT